AGGCATGGGAATGAAAATGTTAGTGATATATTCTGAGCTGTTTATTTTTTTGGTTCATTTCATTCTTTTCCTAATAAATATTGAATGAACAAAACGTAGCAATATAGCTTTAACAGTAATACTTTAATAGCAATAAAATCCATAGTTGAAATATAATCATCTTCTCTGCTGTTGATAATTTCTGCATTTATGTTATATGACTTTCATATTTTTCTAAGAATTGTTTATATCTTTAATGCTTAGTGACTTAAATGTATGACCATAATGAAACATTATTCATATTTTACTCAGAAATGTTGAATTATATTCTAAATGCCTTTTCTTTAATTTTCCTATAGCTGTTAAGAGAGAGAATTGAATGTAATTCTAGGGTAGTATAGTCCCACAAATATAAAATACACTTGAAAGAAATATAAAACAGGCATGATTTTTATCCTGTTACTAATTGATTAAGCATTTTTAACACAGTGAGGTATAAATATGAAATACTTAGATCTTTCTCTGATCACTACTCTTTGAATTATGCTATCTTAAATATCCCTTAACCACTGGGCAGCAGATCTCTTAATGTTGTCTTAGGTGTTGCTACTTGGCCAGACTCTTCAGATATTTTTAAGTATCTGATCAATTTAAAACGTGAATGACATCACATTTAAAACATTCTTCCCCCATTGCCTGCTAACATTTGTTGCTGGGGAATGAGTGCAAGTAAAGATGTTACTTTCCTTCCTCTTTCCACTGTTTCATTTATTCTGTGAACATTGTAGTTCTAAAAGGCCTTGTCTTTCCAATTCTGCTTTTAAAGACTGGGCCCCCTGGATTGGTAGTTTGGCAAAGTAGCATCTCAAAGATCACTTCTACGTGAAGTCCATTAGTTTGCATTGCCGTCAGCTCCTTTTAGAACATGGGGAACTGAAACCTCTCAGTCCTCAGTTGGGAACTGATTAAGGGACAGTAGGGAAAGCCTGCTTAACATACAGATGCAGAAGTATTTATTATTCCCTTTTTTTTCCTTCTATGAAAAACGGAGAATACATTTTACCTTCAGAAATTCACTGACACTACTTTTATCATTCCTGTGGTAACCCAAACCAAATTCAAGGGGAAATGTCTTTATTCCTTTGATATAATTAGTTTTATGCCAGGGAAAGTAAATTCAGCTGCATACTGAACCTGGAAATATTGGGACACTAATCGGTGTATCTATATACTGTGATAGCTCTCTTTTTCGCTGTTAAGCATACAGTTCAATTACCAACAATAATTAGCTGACTACCCAACAATTCCAGAGGATCCCAGAATACATTCATATTGGTAAGATGAATGGGGTGAATGTTGATGGGATCTACAATTTTGCCTAAACCTTTCATTTTCCTTAACCTGCTGTGACTTAATGGCTAGATATTTTGGCTTGGGGATTATATATATGCCTCCATCTCTCCATCTTCCTTCACACCAAACCTTACCTATCCCACTACTTAAAAAAAATTCTATATGTAAATATAACTGAAGGGAAAGTTTTACATTATTTAACTTACCTTCTTTTTATCTTGAATTTTAGATATTTCCATCAAAAATTATGTCCAAAAACAATTCTATTTTGAACTCTTGATTTCAGAGAAAGAATGTCTTACAACTAACTTGATTCATTCACATTGTTTCTATCCATTCATCATCTGTCTATACTGATACACTTATTATGAATCTTTATATCACAGTATTATTAGTATGTATAGGTTAATGTTTTGGCTAAAAATCTATCCTCTTGAAGATGTATTTTGAGCTAAATTTCCATGGGGCTAGATTTTAATGGCCCTTTTGAATGCTTTGAAATTGTTATAGAATATATAAATACATGCATTGTTATTATCAGTCAGTGCAGAGACCCCCAAAAATTCTGATCTTGATTCTAATCACTTTTTAAGATAATTTTATGACATTGATATTTAAAGCTTTCAGTTTTAGATGTTAGTTGAATAAAATAATAAGAAAATGTTTGACAAAAGGAAAATGTGTTTGCTAAAGAAACAAGACTGTTTTTTAAAATTTGTTCCTTAAAAATTGTATGTACAAGGTATTTTACTTCATTTTCAGAAAGTCACCACTTACAAGATGACCTGAAATTTCCTTTTAACATCTGGCCAGAGCATTTTAGAACTTTGTGTCCATTTTTTATAAAATCTTAAAATAACTGCAGTGAAATCATTTTAGTCATACAACCTGGGATGGGATTTTATTTCAATAGACTTTCATTGGTAAATCGGAATGAAAATTACTCAGCTTTGAGACTAGTTCTGTAGATATATATTTTTTTAAGTGAATCAATAGCATATAACTGCCACCATAACTGGTGGCAACATTACTATCAATTTAACTTGAATTTAGTGGAGAGACTTTATAAAATTAGATCCTCTAAGCCAGCAGAATATCTGACAAAAGGATGGAAGATATTGACATATTATAGGTAATTTTCAGTGATCTCTAGATTTTGAATTATTGTATATAAATTATGATATTCTGGAAACAAAATTAATGAATGGTTCTTTGTCCATTAGCATGGATTTCTGTATTAAATATGAGCTGGTAATTCTTATAGCTAAAAGATACAAATTACATGCTTCATTAATTATTGCACATAAGCCCCTGTAAAAGAAATACTCTAAAATATAGTGGCTTAAATTGGTTATATAAACGTGGTTTAAATCTAATACCTTTGGCTCCACATCAAAAAAACAGCTTCCATTTCTGGATCTGAGGCTCTATTGTCATTTTCTCCTAATAAAGTGGGAGGCAAAAATGGTCAAGGGAAGCCCAATTCCAGTCCTTTAATTGGCAAGACCCAGAAATGTCACAATTCCCTTCTGTTCACATCCCAGTGGACACTACTTAAATGCATGGCTGTAGCTAACTGTAAGTGTAACTGGGATTACAGTCTTTGTTACTGAGCGGAACAACTGGCACTTTCCCCATAATTGCCCACAAAACCTGCTGAACTGTACCCTTTCTTGATAGTTCACATTAATGGCAAAACATCTCACTCCAGCAATTACAGTGCAAGTTTTGTATTTTCTTTTTTGAAACATTTAGATAGCTCAGTACAATTTTGTACAGCATGTTTGCACATGTTCTTACATGCTAACCTTTGAAACTTTCTTTACTCCTATCCTACTATATACAAATTACAGTAGAAATAGTTATTACAGTCATGAACTTGGAGTCGCAGATGGCATATACTGATGCAATGGGAATGCATATAATGGAATAAATATCATATTATTATGTTCTATAACTGTTTGATAGTGGTATAAGTACAAGGTTTTCTTTCTAGGAACAGTTCACAACTGTTAAATATGATCAATTCTTAGAACTTCTTCTCCGTTTACCTTTCACACGTCCATGGCATTATTTAAATATCACTTGGAATTCCATTTTCTGGCTTTAAAACCCTCTTTGAATGTCCTAGTCCAGCGATGTCTGGTAGAACTTTCTGTGAACACAGAAATGTTCTAGAACTGCACTGTCCAATATGGCAGCTACTGAAGCTTTTGAGTGCTTGTAATGTGACTAGTGTGACTAAGGAACTGAATTTTAAACTTTATTTCATTTTAAAGAATTTACATTTAAATAAACCCACGGGCCAGTAGTCACCATATTAGCACAGTTAGTCATTCCCCGCTCCATTTACAAGCGTATTTCCGCCACATTTATTTTGCTGCATAATATTGCTCCTGAAATGTCCTCAGATGAATTTAACTACTCAACATCTATTATTTGGTGGTTTATTCTTTGGGTGAGAGATTCTCTCTTTTCAGTGTGACTTTACTCTAGCTTTAAATAGTCTAATAATAACAATATAATATTTACTGTACATAAAATGTGTCAGGCACTGTTCTAAGCACTTTATATAGAATATATAATTTCACTATCACAAGAAACCTACATACTTATAATTATCACCATTTCATAGTTGTATAAACTGACACATCCATGGGTTAATTTGTTGCCTTTATCTAGTTAAGTGGCTGATCTAGGATGTGAATTCCAGGCAAACTGGCTTTAAATCCCAGGCTCTCCCTCCATTCTTTACTCTTTCATCATTTTGTAGAGTGAGGTTTCCCTTCAGTAGTTCTCTCTGTTCAAAAATACATCACATTTGGGGTCTAAGAGCTTTATTTGTGTATGTGTAGTATTGGAAAACTATTGCCCCTAGCAAGAGAGAAGAGAAAAGAACAGTTTCCCTTCTTTTCTGTTCTATCACAATTCACTGAACAGACTGTTTATGAAAAGATGATCCAAAATGTTCCCTAACTTATTTCCACTAATTTGGCACTGCGATCTTATTTTATCAAAATGACACAAAATAAATTAGTTAATATAAGTGATAATGAACAGGTGCTGTATGGTTGCTTTTATTACTACAAAAGATTATTCAGATTTTTTTCTTAGTACACTAACAGGAAGAATTTTAAAGTAGTCAGGATCGATTATTTTCAGAGGGCTATAGTGTTCAGATTCAACTCAGGTCAATCATCTGCAAGTTAAAATTACTTAGAAACGTACTGTCCATAATTAAGTAATCTTACCTACTAATATTACAGAATAAGGATACCTTTAGGTGACATGAAATCTGTCATTTTAAGTATGCCCTGAGGCCTTTTCCAGATTGCTCATAAGACTTCTCATTCTCTAGAGAAATGCTATCTCTAAGAAATAAATGTCTCTGTCAAGTCACAAGTAATATGAGCACATGATGAAAAAATGGAATTTTTTAGTCTCATAAGGAATATTGCAGTATTGTAAAGTTGATTTTATTCCTTGTTATGTAAGTTCTCATGGTCATTTTAGGATTTACCTTCTGGATAAAAAGGGAAGGTTATGATGCCTTTTAGGGAGGTGGGGTACAGAGGCCTCTGGGGACCAGGAGAATATTTTTCATATGAAATCTTTGTCATAAAATGCTAATGTTGGTGTTCTTGTCTTTATGTCTATGCATTCTTTAGCTATGAGGATAACAGACCCTTCATCAAGTAAGAATGACCTGAATGGCTGATAAATTCCATTTATCAGTGTGGTCCCATGAACCAGCTGTCAGATCAGTACTGAAAAATCATTAGAGCTTCTGTCATTCACATTGAGGCAGAAGAGCAAACTGTGCAGGAAAATAATCAGGCATACAACTCGTATGCAGAATAAATATGCTGCAGGTGTATTACCAAAAACAAATTCTGCTTCACCTCTTTTAATTGGATACCATCTGAAATCAGTGCCACAATCATAGCAACTTCATGTGGTACAGACTTGTTTCGCTTTTAATAGCTTTCTCCTTTCATTGTGATGTGTAACTCTGTGCTTCATATGTCGTCATTTCTGTTGTTTGTTTGGACATCGCTCATCCAAAATTATTTTGTGATTTAGCCATGTATCTTCCAAATGATCTTAGGGGTAAGAAGCTATCCAATTGCAATGGATATTAATGAATTTCTATTTTAAATATCCAAAAAGGGAAAAATGTCTCCTTCAAAAATTCAATTTTATGTATGCAAAATTACCTCTTTCAGTGTTGACACATGTCACTTGATTAATGACCTGTTTATGAATATATCTTTTAGATTTCTAAAACAAAGCTACAAGTCTGTACTAATCTAATAAGAATAAACTCAAATGTTGATATTTGGGCTCTTTTCTTTTGTACATTTTAAAATTATGTGTCCTGCCACAATAAACTTAAGATTGGGGCAGCCTATGGGTGACCTTACTCTAGACTTTCAGTTTGTTCTTCTGGTGAAGAGTCCTTTGTTTTCATTTTCTCCAATGACATTTCACTTACTTCTTCATGCTCTTGCTTTTTTTTTTTTTTCTTTAGAAATTGGGCTCATTGCAGTTTTTATATCATTAACTCTTGGGCCCATAACATGTTTTCTAGCAGATACTAGCTGACTTGAGTATTTTATTCTATCATTTTATTTCTAAATTGAAATAGCAATTTTACCTTGATTTAATGGTGTTCTTTCCATTTTTCCTTTTTCCAATGCCTGTAAGAAGCTGAGAGCTTTACCTTGAGAGTTCCCATATTTTTCAATTTAATTATAGAATAAAATATTAATATCTAAGATGTTTTCTGATTCATATAAGCAAACATGCCACATACAATGGCAAGCCTCCTTTAGGGATTCTTTATTCAATAACGTTAATGTTTTAAATTGAACATGTTAAATTTAGGCGATATTTATGCAATATAGTAGCTGATGGTTGTAGAAGAAAAATAGTAAATAGTCATGATGAATTTTAATAAGACTTTAATACTAATTGACTACTTTGGGACCATATCTTTCTTAAGACATAGCGCTTTCTGAAAACTTTAGGCAACCCAGCTTCAGATTTGGTAAATACATGTGTGGTTTCTTTTAACCCCTTCATTTTGCAAAGTTTCGATCCCCATAAATATTTCTTCCTTAGACAATGCAAGTGGAAGAGTATAGTCTGCTGAAAAGAAATATTTACTCTTTCAAGGAAGGCGTACTGGGAAAGGACAGGGTGGGTTCATCGGTATATAGAGATCTAGACTGGTTTGGTCCTGTTCTCCTATATACTTAGAGAGGAGTTGAGAAGGATTCCATTTTCACTTATTGGATTCCCATCTATTGGGAAGATTCATTTTATGTTGATAGTAAATACATAACACACAGCCACAAATACATGGACTTTTGTCACCCGTTGATTACTATTGCGGATGGCAGCTGGAGGAAACTAAGGGAATGGAGAGTGAGAATTGTCTTCCATTCTAGCCTACTTTGTTCATACCACTCCATCCCATTATCAGCTTCATTTTCTCCTTCAGGTTTACAGACCCTTCAAAGTGATGAAGGTGCCCTGAGCTTTTAAGCTTCTTTTCAGCAAAGCTGCCAATTGCCTGATTTTCAGTCTAGTCCAACTTAACCTAGAAGACAGCAATCCAAAGGCCGAAACAACACAGATTGTGATCTAGAGTGGAACAATTTTTCCCATCCACTGTATCACACTTGTTTTACATAACTATAGAATCAGACAAATAGAACTTTTAATTCATACATATATTCCATATACTGGTTCCTTTGAATTCAAGCTCTGTTTTTGTCAGTAAACACTAAAATTTTTATGGAAAAAGAGGAAATTTGGAAAAATGGGGTAAAAGTGTATCAGATGAAGCACTAATGGAGAGAGTCCAATCAAACAAATGTTATCATAACAATGAGGCCAGTGGAAACTAACATAGCTTTATAGACTTTTTCCCCCTTTCCATTCACCATAATTACATCTCCATATCATTTGCATATGTGCTGCAAATACATGAATAATTTAATAGTACAAATCTGCTTTTGCTTAAATGAATTTCTGTGTTCATAACATGCTCATTCATGTATATCTCCTCAAGTTTGAAAACTTGTAGTCGCCATTAAAATCTTAAAGTACTTATACCACCTGTCTTACATTTTCTGTCAATAAAACTTACCGTAACATTTTTTTCAGTGTCAGTATTGTTGATATGATATGACTGTGCTAATTAAAAACCAATCATTTGATAACCCTTAATTTTCTTTTCTCTCTACAGGTCATGGGTTATAGGTGCAATAGCTCTTCTCTGCCTATTAGGATTGACCTGGGCCTTTGGACTCATGTATATTAATGAAAGCACAGTCATCATGGCGTATCTCTTCACCATATTCAATTCTCTACAGGGAATGTTTATATTCATTTTCCATTGTGTCCTACAAAAGAAGGTAAGCAAAAATTCTCTATTCAAAAATAAATGGCATATATCTCAGGAGCAAAGCAACCATAACATAAATCGTTCTTGATGTTTTGGTCTCTGAGAAATAAGCATATTACTTCATTAATTTTATTTTTACAATAGTAAGACAAAAGACACAAAACAGAAGCATAATAATTGGTGAATGTGTTTAACAGCAAAATAAAAAATCAAAATATTTTCTGATTTGGATAATGTACAAAAATTATATTCTTGTAGGCTTAACCTTATAGTCTTTAATATTGTTATTGGCAGACACATGGAATTTGTGTATTAGAAATAGCTTTTCTAAGATGTTATGGAGCTGTGTGGGGGGTGGATATGTACATATACATATATATATATATGTATGTATATATGGCATAGGAAGTATACATTTTTCTGTTTTTCTTTAAAAACCAGTTTGTATATACTGGACAATATGAATGTTTATCATTTTATGATAACATTTATGTTTTTTAAGTGACTGATGATGTACTTAGTAAATGGTCTCTGTCCTTTAAAAGCATCTTTTATAAAATCTATGAGTTGGATGATTAGGATGCAATATTTAATTTTTCATGCTGGTCTTTTTTGTAATTTTTCACATTTACAAAGACCTAAAATATTCATTTTCAAAGTTAATTTTAGCTACTAAATACTTTCATTGCATTTTTTTAGACATCTCAAGATTGATTTTTCTCATCTTATGCTTTTTAACTCTATTAAAAATATGATCATTATAGTTCCAATCACATAGACCCCTGAGCCAAGACTGTCTGAGTCTAAATCCTAGTTTCTCTACTTAAAAGCTTATGTGACTTTGGGCAAGTTAATTAACCTGCTCATGCCCTAGTTTCTTCATGTGTAAAATGGAGGTAATAAAAATAATTATGAGATATTGAGAGGTGGCTCTGAAAACGAAATGTCAAAATGTGAAAATTTCATCTAAGAAAGAAACAACACCTAAAATTTTTCTTTGGAAAAAAAAAAAGAGTAAAGATATCTATGTCTGTGATTTTTTTGTTTGAGAAACTGATAGGACCTAAAACAAAACTTGAGGGAGGTGTCCACTTGTCAAGATGAGTCCAGTCGTATTCTGTTTCAGTTGTGTGTGGTGATAGTTATCAAAAATGTGTTGACATGATCATAAATAAGGCTAGGATAGTAATGATGACTCAGGCTTATAAATGTAGGTTACAGAAAAGTAAAGAGATTATAAGGGAATGGATGTATTCTAATCTACTGGATTAGAATTAATTTAGAAAAGAGATTATATTACAATGGATGAACCTTCCCAAATATTTAGTGCACACCTAAAATTGCAGTTGCTTAACCCCCAAAATTTATTTTTTTTACTTATGGCCCAATTGATGTTGGTACCTCATGGAAGGAAGGAAGGAAGGCTGATGAAGTCTCAACCAACCTTAACATATGATTTCCACAGTCACCTTGAGTATTGACATCGAGCAGGCAGTCTGAGAAAGAGAGGATCTTGTGTAAAAGGTCTGAAAGAGGCTTACCTCACTTCTACTCCCCTTGCATCAGATAGGACACTATCAGTGGTACCACCGAAACTGAAAGGAAGTCTAGGAAACATAGTCTAGCTTTTTTACCTCAGGAAGATGAGGAATTTGGTGTTATAAACAGCTAGCTGTCTACCACACTTGAGAAATGTAAAGAGTAGGACATGTGAATGATGAGTAGGAATAGAGATGGAAAAATGAAGTGTCCAAGGAGCAAAATCAGCATCAAGATGATATACTGAATTAAAGATAGGAGAAAATATCCAGAAGTAGACAGCAACCAGTATTATAAAACATTTCAGAGAAGTCAGGGGGACTAAGCATTTGGGAAAAAAAAAACTTCTAGATTTTGATAGAAGAAAGACATAACTGATTGTCACAAGAAATACATGTAAAAAGATGGGAGCGAAATTGGAGGTTAAGGGAAAAGGTAGCATTTGTCCATTTAAATAAGGGAATATTGGGCCATCATAAGCAATTTTAACATCTTCAAATATAGTGAACCAGATTTACCTATTATCTTTATGCATTAGCTAGAAATTTGGAGTAAAAAAATTTAAAATTTTAATGTTACATAGAAATTTTCTTTAGAGCAGAAAATATTTTTTTTGTATTTTATGTGTTAATTATTTTGATTTTGAGTATTTCTTTTTTTTAATTTTTTATTGTTATGTTATTAGCCAATATCTTTTAGGGTTTTCCCAATAATTATTTTTATTTTTCTTATCTTACAAATATACATGGCTGGTGTAAGGAAGAATTGCTTTTGATATACAGGAAGAGATATTAAACCTCAGGATCCAAAAGCAAGTCTAGAGTTTTTAGTATATTTACCATAAGTAAAATTGCTAGATTATATGGTAGTTCTGTTTTTAATTTTATGAGGAAACTCCATACTGTTTCACACAATAACTGTACCAATTTACATTCCCATCAACAGTGCACAGGGGCTTCCTTCTCTCCACATCCTAACCAATACTTGTTATCTCTTGTTTTCTTTTTTTTTCTCTTGTCCTCTTGATGATAGACATTCTAACAGATGTGAGGTGATATCTCATTGTGGTTCTGATTTGCATTTCCCTGATCTGTGCTGTTGAGCATCTTTTATGTTGGTCATTTGTATGTTTTCTTAAGAAAAACATCTATTCATTTTCACTGTCCATTTGTAATTGAATTGTTTTGTTTTTTGCTAATGAGTTATATGAGTCCTTTATATATTTTGAATGTGAACCCCTTATAGAAATATGATTTGCAAATATTTTCTTCAGTTCTGTAGATTGCCTTTTCATTGTGTTGAATATTTATTTTGCTATGCAGAAACTTTTTAGTTTGATTTAAACCCACGTACTAATTTTTGCTTTTGTTGCTTTTGTTTTTGATGTCATGTCAAAAAGTCATTGCTAAGACCAGTGTCCAGGAACTTTTCCCTTATACTTTCTTTTAGGAGTTTCCTTCCGGTCATATGTTTCAGTCCTTAATTCATATTGAGTTAAATTTTGTGAGTGGTGTAAGATAGGGTTCGATTTCATTCTTCTGCATGTAGTTACCTGGTTTTTCCAAAACTATTTATTGGAGAGATTTTCCTTTTCCTATCAAGTATTCTTGGCTCCCTTGTGAAATATTAGTTGACAATAAATGCAAGCATTTATTTTGGGGCTAATTCTGTTCTCTTGGTCTATGTGTCTATTTTTATACCAACGCCATACTGTTTTAATTACTACAGCTTTGTAGTATAGTTTGCAGGCAAGAAGTGTGATGCCTCCAGCTGTGTTTTCTCAGGATTACTTTGGCCTTGGGGGGTGTGTGTTTTGTGTGTGGTTCTGTACAAATTTTAGGATTGTTTTGTCCATATCTGTGAAAAATACCATTGGAATTTTGAGAGACTGCATTGAATCTATAGATGGATTTGGGTAGTATGCACATTTTAACAATCTTAATTCTCTTAAAGAGTTTCTCTTAAGCCATCTGATTGATTTTCAATGATGTGCCCATGCTGATTTAGTTGCTCATATGTTTTGATTAGAGAAATATGAAATATTCCATTTTTGAGATATTTTGCCTTGTAGAGCTATTTGTTGATTGATTCAACTTATTAACAAAAATCAAACTTTGAGTTATCAGTCCTATTCTGACTGTAGATTGCATGATATGACCAATACCAGTATTTCTACTGGTGACATTAAAGTTATCACTTTTTCTTTTGTTATGCACTTGATTATAAATCTCAGAGGATATCATAATTATTTTATTTCTGATCTGAGAGTATAAAAGAAATATTCCATTGATAAGGTATAGTTTCTTTCCCATCTTCTATCTTCTAGAATGATATTAAAATACTAAGATATCATATCTGGTCATGGTAAGATGGAGTATTGTGTGAAATAGTAGATTAGAATATGCAAATGATTGAACGATCAAATAACTTTTATTGTAATCTAAAGAAAAATATCTCATAGATACAAGGCATGTTATTTTGCTTTTTTTTTCTTTTTAAAACACACGGTTAGCATTTCAAAACTAATCACAGAAAAATAAAGGCAGTAAAGATTCAGTAAGTAATATACCTAAATATGGAACTTGGCATCACTAGATACCTTGGTTTTTTGGTTGTTTATATTACCAGTTCAGAACATTTAACCTTTGTTGGAAAATGAAAATAGTCCATGATGAATTCCTGTGGCTTATACAATATTGCTGCCTTTGTAACAGGAATGGGAGTGGTTCTCTTTTTCTCTTTCTTGCTCTCTCTCCCTCTTAAAATATTTGTTTAGGTTTAAATCACTTTGTTAAAAAAAATACTTTCTTTCCTAAGAGGAAAATATACTTGTTGAGTACATTAGGAAAAACAAAGTGGGATGTAGGTTATGATCATTGTTTAGGTTCTTGGAGATACTTTGTTGTTAATTCAGGACTAATATTAAACTGTAATTGATAGTGCTTACCTTTGGGTAGAGATTATTTTAAGCTTTCTCAAATTCTAATTAAAGCATTTGTCCCTATTTTTCCACATACAGAGAAAGGGATAATTTAATAGATTACTTTAATAATAATGTTAACACGTTAATGTTAGAAATGTGGCCTCTTAGAAGGAGTTTTCTGACCATAGAGCGGTGGATTTTTTCACAAAGGGCATATTGCTTAATCTTTTCAGTATTTCAGTTTATTTTCATTGCTTAACCTTTTCAGTGTTCTTATCTGTAAAATCTAGGTAATAATTATTTCCCAGAGTCCTTCTGAAGGAGGGACATACCATAAATCCTAGTAAATAGCAAATAAAAATTAGAAGCTTCTTCACTCCTTAGTCCCAGCCTCACATATATATTAGACATACACACAAACACAAGTGGGTATCAACTTATTTCTTTTAAAAAATAACAAAATGTGAATTGGCTTTTGAAAACTGAATAAAACTAATTATTTCTAATTATTCATAAATGTAGCATAGAAGAGATTGGTTGGAAAACATATCACTATAATTTAAAATATATTAAAGAATGTAATGCTGGTATTCCAGATCAGAGAAAGTCCTCAAAGGTTGCTCACCCTATTCGCAATACGTAGGATGCCTTTGTCTCTCTTGTCTGTCCTTTCTTTCAACTTCTTTCTCTAACCTGACAGATTCCAACCCATCATTTGAAGACTCTCTTAGAAATCCTCTTCTCTGAGAAGCATTCCTGGGTCCCCCTACTTCCTGCCAGCTTTGATTCACCCATCTCTAGATTGTTGTTCCTATCACAGAATAAGCATTTAATAAATGTGAATTCTTCAAACAAACCTAAATGTAGTCTATCTCTGATTCTGTTATATCTTTGATGGAATGAACTTTCTAATATTAAAATACAATATTTTAGTTTCGAATGCTAATATTAATGTATCATTCACACTCCTATTTTTTTGCTTTTGATTCTAAATAGCGTCCCTCAAAAAAGCATGTATTTATAACTTCGATTTAAATAAAATTACACTGGGATATTACATTGTCACAAATTGTGGAAAGGATGAACTCATGTGAATTCAATATGTAAAGAGCTAAGAATAATTATATATACAGTGTTATTTCATAATGAACATAAATTTGGAATGTATAACCAATAAAAAGTCCCAGAATGTGTTTTTAGTTGAGAAAGACATAGTTGGGGATTATTTGTGTTGTTGTAGATAGTGGAAGTATGATTTAGGGCAGTAACTGTTTATTTTTGTACATCTTGTTTGATTAAAGAGGCAGTAATAATAATTTTAAACAAGAAAAAAGTTTTCCCAGACGTTGTTGGTCTGTTTTCCTGCTTGAAAACATCAACTAAAAAATGTTTATCTCCTTTTTTTCCCATGATTTTATACTACAATCAGGATTAAGGATTTAATAAACAAAAGCAATCTATGACTATTGAATAGAACTATTATGCGGGAATAAATTAAAAATATTTTGAATTTTATAAAGTTACAAATTTGACCTCTTTTAGGAGAAATAAACTTCAAAGAAATACAGATTTAAAGGAAATTTAACCCAGTACATTCCTTTCTTCTGTGTTTAAACGTTCTTTTTCTCTTTTCTCTTCCTTTCCCTCCCCACCCCCCTCCCTTTCTCCATCCCCTCTTTTCTCTGTGGCTTTCTCACTAGACCTCAGTTCAGAGAATAGTTGCACCAATAGACTACTTCAAATCAAATTTATGAGGCTAAAAATAGTGTCTTAAAGAGTCTTAACTTTATATTTTGAATTAAGAGGTAGTAAACATTATAGCAGGATTGGGCATGTGTGTGTGCACGTGTGCATATTTTAAAAGGTTCCAGTTATGCAAAATTTCAAGCTTGGTGGCTTGAATATCATTTTATATTGTAAAATCTATGCAGAACGGATTTTTTTTTGTATCTGTAGGGCAAGGCAATAATTATATTAATTATCTGAAAATGAAACTCACATACATTTTATACCATAGTTCCCAGCCGAAGTGAATTACATGCTAACAGCAGTTTATATTTAATTGGCTAGGTACGAAAAGAGTATGGGAAATGCCTGCGAACGCATTGTTGTAGTGGCAAAAGTACAGAGAGTTCCATTGGCTCAGGGAAAACATCTGGTTCTCGAACTCCTGGACGCTACTCCACAGGCTCACAGGTAAATATTTGTTCATTAAAATGAAATATCCCTTACCTGTATTCTGTCACGAGTTGCTGTCCTTTCTTGATCAGAACTATTTTCTATCCCAAGTGTTTACGCCATCAAATTTGTTGTTGTTGTTTCAGTGTGTCAAATAGGAATGATTATGACAAACATTTCAAAAACCACATTGCACTAAAATTATGAAATAATAATTGTATAATAATTATTTGCATAATAATTAATGGTTTCAGATTATCCCTAGTTGAATGAATATAGGAGGTGACAAAAGGAATTTGGCACTTTACCCAAAAATTCTAAGAAAGTAATATTTTACATATATGAATCTTAAGGAAATTACATCTCTTAGCCAGTATAATAACTCTCTGTCGCATACTGAACACATGTACTTATTAAATGGTATGTTCAGTAAAAACAGTCCTAACTCATATGATTTGCTGACAAGTTGAAGACGGCTCAGGGCAGCAAAGGATACCATCATAGCATCGTGGACTTAACTGCTGCACGTACTGCTCCCAGCTGTCTGGCACTCGATGTGGCCATGGCGTTGGCTGTCAACCTGGGGAGCCGTAAACCTCCTCGTAACTTTCAAGTAGCCTGTCTGTCATTTTTCCCCGGCCATGGTGTGAGTCCAAAGATTATTAGGTAGAAGTTTCAGCAGCTTGACAATGCTGAAATGAGCCAGGGAAACAAAAGACAGGATGATGTGGGCCATGAGTGAGTTTGAGTTCAGACTAACCGACTAATACTTTGAAGATTTCCTGACCCAGTGGGGAAACCAATCATTTTTTTTTTCAGTGTTGTCAGTTGATTTTGAAAGAAGACTTAAAGTTGATAAACGTGTAAATCAGGAACTTAGGTTTTTCTTAAGCCTTTAACTCTGCATCTTAATTTTTTTTGTAAATTTGGTAATTTTGTATAAAATAGAAAAGATCACTTCAGGTATTCTTTGTTCAATGCTTAATTGTCTTGTAAACTCAATAGATTAAATTTCCCAACAATTCCATTTATAGGCTTAGAAAATTAAATCCTTTGACTTTAAATATCGTTTACAAACATCATATATCTGATTCTCTCAAACACATTCACTGTCAGACTGGACAGTTGTACACCCCTAACTAGCACCTGAATGACTCTTAGAAATGAAAGATAATGAACAATGTTCTCATAATGAAACACTTTCCTCACATTGATGGAGTTCTCTTTTATCTTATGAATAAAACCACATCTGATCTTTTAATCTAATATTTCCAACTAAAATTTAAAATGAATGTATAACTGGCAAACTGTCCTACTATTAATACTTAAATTAACAACCACAAGTTATCATAATAAACCTGAAACTTATACCTACATATAATACACAATTATTAATAGTTTGAATTTTATTTCTTATTTCTATACCTTACTGAGGTTACAAAGTTGCAAATTAGGGGGAACAGATGTACCAGTGTAGGTGGGCTGAGATTTCTGAGTGTAGGACTACTAAAATGGTCAGTTAGAAATCTGAAGTCTCACATAATTGTAGGGTACACCTGGATGATGCTTCTAGCATGAGGCCCTTAGATTCCACACCTTTATTTTCAAACTAATAATCCTTACCTCCACAGCTTTTAAACTGAAATTGCTGAAATCCTGTGTGTCATCCAGCTTCATTAGTTCCTACATGCTTTTCCTATAGCCGAGCTCAGCAACCACCATCACGTAGTCATTAGACAAATGCCATTCATGAAACAATACTATTTGGAACTTTATGTATTATGTTACAACAAAGTTGTGTAATGTTTAGCAATACCAGTAAGCTAAAAGATAAGGCAATGCAGGTTAAGAGAATAATCATAAGCTTGCTGTGTGGATAGCCCTTGGTTTGAATTCTAGCCTTGGCGTGTACCAGCCATGACACAAAACAAGTCACCTAAAAACATTGACCCTCAGTTTTTTCAGCTCTAAAGTGGTGGTGATGATACTGATTTCTTATGTTGTTAGGAATATTGAGATAATATATTCAAAACATTGAAAACAAATTGCAAGTACTCAACGAATCAGAGCAGTCATCACTTAATAGTGTCATTATTACAGAATATAATTTCAGATATATATTTTAAAGCTGTATCATATTTTTTCTTTGCTTTTATGGTTCTCATGTCACAATTCTAGTCTTCGAAAAAAAACCTTACATTGTTTTCTTATGCTTAATATAATAGTAATTCTGATTAACTATGACAATCCAACCCTACATAAAGTAACAGGTACTTAAATCCAGTCTGTTTAGGTAAAAATAATCAATGTTTTTCATATTAACTATGACCTTCCATAGTCTAAAATAGTCACTGATATCAAGGTAAAATTTTGGACTATGGATGTCTTTTTCCACATCAGAGAACTTGTAAAATAACAATCTCTGTATGTTTTATTTTTTACTAAGAAATATTGAATATCCTCTATATAATGGCAATCTTCTAAGCTCTGGAGGTACAGTGGTTAAAAGACAACTTCTCCTGTGATCTGGAGCTTTCATTCCAGTTGTGGAAGACAGAAAATTTATTAACAAACCAACGGAAAATATCAAATTATGAAAACTGGTAGAGATCCAAATGTAGTGATTTGATACAGAAAGCGCAGGTGGCTACTTGGAGTAAGTGCTGGAGAAAGACGATTTTGGAAGATGATATTGACACCAAGATTCTGAATGACAGGAAGGAAATTCAGGGGAAGAGAATTCCAGGTGAGAGAACTCTAATACAAAGCCTTTAAGGTAGGGGAGGACTTGCAAACTCAGGAAGGGAAAGAATGTCATTGGCTAAATTGGGTGACAGTGAATGGGAGATGAAGTCAAAAGAGAAGGCTAGAGATGGATCGGTAATGATTTATAAAAGTATACAAATTTAGATTTTATTTTGGTTACTTTAGAAAGCCAATAAGATGATTTAGAAAAAGAAGTGGCCAGAGATCATCCACGTATAATAAAGATCATGTGGCTTCCATGTAGATAATGGAGGAGCGTGACTGGCAAGACTAAAAAGTGAAAATCCTCTCCACATGTTGCTCCCCCATACTTACTTCCTGGTGCTAATAATCACTTATAAAAGCTTGGTAGTAACCATAATCACACAGCAGATATTCATAGACATGTATAGGATTGGTTTGTGTTTATGTGTGTTTATAAAAACTGTGGACTAAAGTATTGTCCTTCTCACTTCAACCTTTCTTTAATTGTTCTGTCATTTTTTTTATTTGTTTTATTGACTCTGTAGATGAATTTACATTTATCATATGATATTTGAAACATAAAACAATGTATGTAACATCTATTAAATTATGAAGTATAGTAGTAAAATGAACACTTGTGAAGTGAACATCCAACTCAGGAATTGAACATTTTTCCATATATTTTCCCTTCTTTTTTTTTTTTAAAGGTTTTATTTATTTATTTGAGAGAGAGAGAATGAGAGATAGAGAACACGAGAGCGAAGAGGGTCAGAGGGAGAAGCCGACTCCCTGCCGAGCAGGGAGCCTGATGCGGGACTCGATCCCGGGACTCCAGGATCATGACCTGAGCCGAAGGCAGTCGCTTAACCAACTGAGCCACCCAGGCGCCCCATATATTTTCCCTTCTTGAAAACTCTCCCTAATCAATTCCTGTGCCTGCAATCAGAAAACTTTGGTTCTTCATTTCCCTGATGTGTTCTAATAGTTTCTCCACCTCCAAAAAGGTGTTTAGTATTACTTTTTAAAATCTTTTTGGGGGGGCACCTGCGTGGTTCATTTGTTAAGCATCTGCCTTTGGCTCAGGTCATGATCCCGGGGTCCTGGGATCGAGCCCCGCATTGGACTCCCTGCTCAGTGGGGAGTCTACTTCTCCCTCCCCATTCCCCCTGCTTGTGCTCTATCTCTCTCTGACAAATAAATAAAATCTTTAAAAAAAATCTTTTTTTGAAGTGGCATATTATTGTATGTAGTCTTCTGTGACTTGCTTTGTTCACCCCCACATCGTCCTGGTTCATTCCATGAACACTGAAGTGTTGGCTCTCTGCTACATAATGTATACTTTTCCTCTGCCTGCAATATTTTATCTTTTCCTCCTTTTTCTATTCATCTATTATTTGACATAGTGTAGTGAACTGTTAAGCTCCTGGATCAGGAGCCAGTTGAGTGGATTCAAATGTTGGTTTGGTCACTTAATTAAGTCTGTGACACTGGACATGCTAATTAACTTCTAAACATCAATTTTCTAATGAATAAGAGTACTTGACTCAAGGAGTTGTGAGATTTCAGTGAGTGAATAAATGAAAAATTACATAGTATAGAGCCTAGAACATAGAAAGAATTAATTGAAGTGCTTAAAGATTTTACATATAAGATACATATTTTACATATTTTACGTAGGCGTACATATAATATTTATCTTATACCAGGTATTATTTCAGGGTGTGACACATCAATAACAAAAAATAACAAGAAACAAGAAAGACAAAAGAACCTCAAATCTAATGCAGACATTAGACATTAAATATTGAACATTATATACAAATATTAAGAAATAAATACATTATAATTATAGGTCATGTTGTATAAGATGATAATGACTACGGGAGGAAAACAGCAGGGTTAGGTGGGTGGAATAGAAGAATAGGTTTCTTTAAGGAGAAAATATTTGAGCAAAAATTTAAAGAGATGGAGTTATTCATACATGTATCTAGGGGAAGAACACTTCAGGCAGAGGAAACATTTGTCCCAAGCCTGAGGCAGAAGCATGCTTGGCTTGTTGAGGAATGGCAAGAGAACCAGTGTGGCTAGCCCAGGTTAGGGAAACTAACAGAAAATGAGGTAATGGGAGAAGCTCATGTAAATGTCACCTAACAATGATCATAATTCCATCAAATCTGTTAAGATGTCACTTCTTCAATGGGGTCTCACAGACTTCCTAGCCAAGGACATATCCCCTCATTATGTGCACTTAAACATTTTTTTTTAATTATGTAGTCTAATAAACATTAACAAAAGTACACAAAATATAGGTGTATGCACAGTGATTCATTACCCCTCCCTGGGTCAAATATTAGACTGTCGGGAGTACCTTAGAAACCCTTTGAACGTTTCTCCATCATTCACCTCTAATGTAACCACCATCTTAACTTTTAGCAGTACATTTTGTTTTGCATGTGTTTGATACTTATTCACATGAAGTCACCCAGTACCTACTCTCTTCTATTTTCTTTCTTTCCTCAGGCATCTATGTTGCTGCAGGAGGCTATGTTGCTTTTTTATTGTTATTGCTGTATATTGTTCTATATATCCATTTTACCACTGACAGTCATTTGGGTTTGTAGTTTTCAGCTATAATAATTAATGGTTCTATGGAGATTTGTGGGCACATTGTTTACTTTGGCTTTTATTTTTGTGATAATTGGTTGTGTCTAACACTTAACTAATCTAGTAGCTCCATGAAGACAAAGATATTTTTTGTTTGCCTTTTCCCTTTGTATCTCCTAGAGTAGCTTCTGGCATGCAGTAGAGGGTAATTAATATTTTAATTAATTGATGAATTAATTAATAAAACAAATGTGAGAGAATTGTTTCCAGTATTTCAGTTTGAAATTTTGAAGTATTTTTTGATAGAAACATTTCTCAAATGCTCAGGATTTATAATTTCTTATTTTTTTATTTAAAAAATGTTTTAATCTCTTTTATTTTATTTGTGTATTTTAAGTAGGCTCCACACCCAACGTGGGGTTGAACTCATGACCCTGAGATCAAAAGTCACATGTTCTCCCCACTAAGCCAGCCAGGCGTCCCTCCAATTCTTTGATTAGTTTTGTTCTGTATGAGTCTGTGTGTGTACTTGCTGACCTAAAAAAATATATATAAGCAATATTTCTGAAGAATAAACATGCCGCAAGATTTATAAAACAAATTGTCTAGTGTTTTAAGATTAAATACTTCTATTTTTCAAGGAGTTCACATATATTTGGAGCATAATCCATTTATGAGCTTGGGTTTGCCACTACCATTACTAGTAGTAATAGTTCTTAAAATTATTTCATCCTTAAAAAAGCTGAAAATATGTTGTTTCTCCTCACAGGATTGTTAATACTTTTTTGATCCCTAACTCAATAAAATAACAGAACAATAAACCAGAAAAAAAATCTTCTCCTTCCCAAATGAAAAAATATTACACCGCTTTCTTCAATTATCTGACACTTAGAACTGAATTTGAGAATATAAACAATGATGTAAGACTTTTCGGTTCTCGATAAAACTACCTACTGTGAAGAAATGAATAAGGGTGAATTGGCTTCCTTTATCTCCTTCAAAAGAAAGAAAAGTTGAAATCATATGTAACCTGTAAAATTACACTAGTCTTACAAAATATATGGAGGATGTTAAGTTTAGTAGCATTTTAATAATACTGTATTCTTTTCTTACCAAACTTTTTCTTTCTTGCAAGTTTCTGAATTCTTAAAGTAAATCTTTTGTTAATAAAACTGACAATTTAATACATATTTAAATACCCCATTCCCATAAAAGTTACAATGAAAATAATTTGTTTCACTTTAGAAACTAAAATTATTAAATTCTAACCATCTAGAGTACACGTCGATATATCTTCAACATGTTTAAATTGGTATAGTACATTACGTTTATTGCTTTTTCATAGTTACAATTATTTTTGGTATAAGCATTTAGGAATACACTTAATGAGAACCAATTATTATCATTAATTTAGTTTCTGATGTTCTTGTGCTACTGTACTGCAAGCACGTAGAAGTTATGTATTTGCCAGATGCCAGAAACAAAGGTCTCATATAACTATGACAGAAAGAAAAAGAATGATTTGTGTTAAAATTCACTGCCTGGTGAGTTCATTTCCTTTTTTCCCTTTCCCCCATCCAGAGCCGAATTCGTAGAATGTGGAATGACACGGTCCGAAAGCAGTCAGAGTCTTCCTTCATTACTGGAGATATAAACAGTTCAGCGTCACTCAACAGAGGTAATTAGAAATGATTTTTCATATTTATTACTTTTGTGATTACTTTAAGAAGTTCTTAAATGCATTGCCTTTTTTGCAACTTCTGGACCTTGTTCCATGTGATAGGAATATTGCAAGGTTATAAAACCTGGTTGACTGTAGCAGTGTGTTCCATTATTCATAAGCCTCTTTTTTTTTTCCAATCCTGGGTTTTCAGAAAATCTTTTCTGAAAAGAAGTTAGAAAACAAGAACTTTCTTTTTCTAGTCATCTGCCACTGTAATAAACTGGTGAGCTGTCAGGCCTCATTGGAAGCAGTGAAAATGGGCAATTATGTGGCTATATAGTCTGCTAAGCATCATAGAGTTGCACATTGTCCCAGGCATAGAGCAATTTCATGTCTTTGTGGAAGTAAAAGTATACTGTCTAATACATACTTGAGGCATCCCGTATATTTGGTGTAAAAATCACAACGAATTTTAGCATCTACAAACTTATCCAGCATATTTAAAGATCTAGGAGGAAAAAGAATATTTATATAATGATTTTTGTGTGTTTATGTGCTTCTGGTTATCATGTTCCTAGGGCATCATTTCGATTTTTAACCAACTGAGCCACCCAGGCGCCATCATTTCGATTTTTAAAATGAAGTTTCCTTAATCTACTGTTTGGTTCGTGTTTTTTTTTTTTTTTATTCTTCTGTCTCTCTTTCTCCTTCCCTCCCTCTCCTTCCCTCCCTCTTTTTTAGTGTATGTGGGTGGGGGGAGGAGTGGGGAGATTAGAATTAAGTTGATTGCAGGAAAAATGAGTAGATGCTGTATTTGTGTAGAGTTAGGGTACACTACAGACATTGCTGGGGAATATTTAGAATATAGTTTTATCTGGAAAGATGGTGTTTGCATGAGCTTATTCCAATCACACTGTCCTAAGAAAGATATTTTTGATGTATATATTCAGTAGTTATTTTTTATGATCAACATTGTTTTTTTTCCTATCCCCAAACTAGAATTTTAGTTCACTTAAACCTGTTTCTGTCAGCTTTTTGTTATATTAAACGCTACTTAGAAACAAACAATTTAACAATCACAGCTTATGATTCAGAAAAATTCAGATGCTGGTGCTCTTAATTACTTTTACTCAAGTAATTTGCATCTTATTTTCATAAAAGAAATTAGGACAGATAGTATCCAAGCTGAATTTGATATAGAGATCCATGTTACACATAATCTTAATTGACTTTCATATGTTATTTGGGACAGTTGTATAATAACCATAACCTAGTAATGATATTAAATTTTCTGTATCACTTTTGCCTAAGGAGGAACAGTGAATGCAAATATTCCTCCAAATATAAAGAAAATACACTAAAACACCTACCTTCTTATATTTTGTTTCATTATTAGTCTGTTTTTATTTGCTAGATTTTGATTTACATATTATCCTCCAAATATCCTTCTCTTTTTCAAGTTTAGTTTTAATGGTTAGTCTGTGAAAATTTATTTAAATATGAATACTCTAACTTTTGACTTATTTTCCAAATCATAGAGAACGAATTACTTACAAATGCCTCCAAAGTTTAGGAACTTATTTGCTTTCATAGTGACAGATTTTGTTTATTGTCTAATCCCATAAATGGAAAATTTATAGTATGTTCCTAGATAGATAACTACCCTTATGAATAGGATTTATTATTAGGAGTATATTGCATCTAATGAGCACAGCAACTATAGAAAAATTGTTGTTTAAACAAAAGATGAGATCATGTGATTTTAATGATGCACTGTTTATTTGCCTACTGTGAAGATGGTTAAAATATGTAAAATTATTATTTTTTAAAACATGTAAAATTATTATGTTGTCTAGCATTATGATCTAAATTCATGTAAAGATTGTAAGGCATGTGACTTTACTAAAAATTGTTTTAAATGGACACATTTTTGTGACCTTGATTTTAAGGTCACTCACATATAACATTGCTGTGCCTTTTTTAGTTCATTCTCAAGAATTTCATCAACTTGGAATATGTGATATGTGGATGACTGGGTCAATTTGAAATATATTTAAAGAAAATAATAATATTTTATATTGACTGATCATGTGTTTAAATCTGGTTTTAAAGTCTTTGGTTTTAAAAGTATTTCTTAAAGTTACTCTTGAAGAAGGGTATAAAATTTCTTGTGACATACAGTAAGTTACTCTAACATTGACTTTGGAGAGGGGTTTAAATTGAATTTATGATTTGAAGTGTGTCCAGGCAGTGGTCTTTTCCTTCAGGATATGTAATCTTCTTTTCACTCAGTGACTTTAATGGTGGTAGACATCATAGTGATCTTCTTGATTTCCCATATTAATTCCCTATTCCCCCAAGTCAGAAACTCCTCATTTTATTCTCATCTCATTATTTTTTATCTCAGATACATGGAGTACTTTAAAATTTTATTTCTTCATATTATATCTCTGAAGATAGTCTTTAACCTCCTTCTTTAATCTTATTTCCCAGGGTCCTATCTTCCCTGCATTCAGGCGTGTGTATCATATTTAGGTAGGTGAAATCCAAGATTCACCTTTCCAGATAAACACTTCAGTCACCTCAGCAACATACTTATTCACCTCTGTTTAATCAAAAGATTATATTCTCTTTTATAAAAATAAAAATTCTAGGCACTGCATCTTTGCATCTTCATGTATTCTAACTTCCCATTCATTCTCAGTTTCTCACAGCTAGCAATTTTTTGTTCATTTAAACCCCATTTTCCTTTCTTTCTAAGTTAGATCTATTAAATCTCTTATTTTTGTCTTTAGTTCTGGCCTCAAAAACTATAAGAAGTTGTCTAAAAATTAATCCTGTATCTACTTTAGGTTTTCTTTCCTATTCATACCACTGCTCAGTTCATCAAAAGAATAATTATTTTACAGTTCTGTGTGTCTTACCATCTATTCTTCCAAACAAAAATGCATCATTCTCATCTTTGGGATCCATTAAGAATAAAGCATCTACCATATAGTACAGAACTCCTTCTCAATGGTTTTTATTTTTTCAAACCATCTTTAATATTCTGTTCTTGAACCAACTTGTTACAGCCTATGTATCAGATTACCTGTGTAGATTTCCCCATGTGATAAACTTGATTGCTTTTGGGATTTTATTCCTTGGAATTATGCAAAACCTTGGAAGATTTATTGATAATTTTCAATTTGTGTAATCATTCTTATATATTCTCTTTGGTATTTTGTTATTTGGTTACCTCATCTCTTTAAAACATTCCATTACACATTCCATTCCATTTGTCCTTTGAATATCTGTATTTGTGAAGGTGTTTTCCAAATGTTCCCTATACATTGTAAGATATTTTTTCCCCTTCTGAATTATTTGCTACAGTGCTACTCACTCAAGTAAATTAAGAATTCCTTGAGGCCAGTGCCCCAGGACTACGATCATGTTAACTTCTCTGGTGCCACTTTCATACACAGTCAGGAGTTTTTCAAGAGCATTAATGTGATAGTTGATTATAGAAAGTTTTAAGGAGGATTAACTCTGATCCAAACTCATGTTTTTACAAATACCACAGGAGGGTTTATTCATTTGCTCATTTAAATATTTACTATTTGCACATATCTTGAGGTCAATCCTCAATCCCCCCCCCGAGCTTCTCCCAGATTTTTAGAAACCTTACCCAAATTTCTAGTAGTTCTAATTTCCCAGGAGTGGTAGAAACAATTTGTAGCTGAGGTAATCTTTCCCACTCATATTTCCAACTCACAATCTGTGCTGGCCAAACCTCATGCTGAACAATTTAGATTAGCGATGCCTCTAAAACTTGAATTTGATCCCCAAATGAAGCATTTGCTGGGAAATTTCTCTGGTAGTTCAGTTAATGGTTAAACATTTCTATTCATTTATAGATCTATATAGAAATTGAGATATTTTCTGAAATTGGATTTTACTAGGCTTCATCTCATCGTGAATAATATAATTGCATTTCCCATTTTCTTTTTATTTAATTAGCTGAATTGACACCAGAAATTCAACTTAAAATCAGGTTTTGCTTGGTAGCTGCTACCAATACGATGTAAGAATTCTGAAAAATGTTTCACCCCAACCCCCTGCCCAACTGTGGAGTTATTATAAAAATGTGACCCATCTTAGTGGCAGAATTAGCAAAAAGACATTTCTTCTTCTGAAACAATAGCTTGGCTAGCATGGCGAACTTTTATGTCCCCCTATCTCCCATCCTCCATCTCATCAACCTCCCACAGAATATATAATGTGATTTTTATACATGGGGATCTGACCAGTAAAGCTATATTTATTTAAGCCAAATCCAAGTGTTGTGTGACTGAAAACTCTCTCATCTGTTGATGTGCAGCACATATTTATTAAAGTTGATGGATTATCCTTTCAAGGTTCAGATTCGTATTAGTCTACACATGCATTCTCAGTAAATTTATGTAATCAGCACAATTATGACGGCCTATGACAATCTTTTCATAAATTTTAAGGGTAAATCTTGGCTCTCAGTGGCACAACTACCTACTGATGGTGGCCTCACCTGTTAGGAACATTGTTGATTCAAAGGGGAAAGTCATCATCAAACAGACTTTGCAAATTGTTTATTTACTCATAGTAGTTTTGAGAATGGAGTTTAACTCAGTGACTTTTGGTAAACTGCTTATATTCTCAGTGTCTATGCAGTGTGGATATAGAAAGCACCCACTTCACAGGGACCTTGAGAGGACTAAGTGAGTTTATATATGTTAATTCCTTACTACAGTGCCTGCAAAATAATAAGTACTTTTATCATTATTTTATTTAGAAGTTCCCTTACATCTTCTAACAAATGAAAACTGATCCTTGCCAGTGCTCTCAGATAATTAGATATTAAAATTCATCATTCACTACTGAAGGTTTTCTTTCCTTTTTATTTTCTAGTAATAGGTGGGAGGAATAAAGTAGTTACCTGAATGCCAAGTTAAAGAAATAATAATTTACCTAAAATGGTGCTACCCTTGAGGCTAACAAAA